GTGGGACTGGGGCAAGCACCAAGGCATGGTCCATTTCTTCATTCCTCACAAAGGGTGACACCTCCCCAGCATGCACCCAGGGGGCGGGGCTGACGTGGCAGGGGCTGGTTCCTCGCTGTTTCTAGATGGCCTTGTGGAGCTAAGACTGAATGAGTTTCAGCATAGATGGCCACCACAAAATTGTACATTGGCTCCTGGCCGGCCTGGACCAGGTCCAAGGCAGCAGGGGCCGTTCCCTCACTGTTTCCAGGATGTCTTCATGGGCCACATGAAACCACTTTGCAGGCCGCATCTGGCCCCTGGGCCTTGTGTTTGACATGTCTGCACTAAAGTTAAATTTGGCTGCTCATTTCTGTGCTTAGTGGGTTATTTAAATTAAGCAAAAAAAAGGACAACCACTTGTCTGGAATGGTATAGGGCAGGGGTAGGCAACCTCGGCTCTTTTATGACTCATGGACTTCAACTCCCAGAATTCCTGAGTCCATGAGTCATAAAAGAGCCGAGGTTGCCTACCCCTGATATAGGGCCTCCTGCTTGAGCAGGGGGTTGGACTAGAAACCTCCAAGGTCCCTTCCCACTCTGTTATTCTATTATTCAGGTTCTAAACAGGTAAGAGATGGAGCAAAGTGACATCAGGAGGCAAGGTCAGATTCTTATGCTCAGAGATGAGTTCCTGCAAATTGTGTGTGTTTGTGTGTGGTAGAGCTGTGTCTCTTCCCACTCAGCTCCTTGAGTGCTGGGAATGGGGCACTGGTTTCTGTTTAGTCCTTGGTGGTTTTAGGGCTGGTATATCCAGAACCCTTTGGTAGGGTGTGCCCATTATTCTACTTGTGCCCATGAGATCAAGTAGAAGGCACCATGTCCTTAGAGGAGAGTCTGGATATAGGCAGTTCCTGCTTGCCATCTTGGAAGATGCTGATGACTTCCTCTTGAAAAAAATCCTGTTCTCCACTATTGGAACATGCAGATTTGGTTTGGATGATATCAATGGTAGAAGTTACCACTTTTGGAACACTGAAACATGCTCGGAACTTGTACCATTCATGGAAGCTGTTTCTGATATCCTGCCTTGGAGATTCCAGATAATTTCAGAATTTGCCCTTCAACAGGTCTTTTGCCCCCCCCAAAAGAAATACTTTGTCAGAGATCCTTAGTTCCCTGAATTATGTTAGATCTGAGCAATCAAGCCACACTTGGAACAAATCTCTTCCATCCACTTTTGGAACAGTTTTGAAGTGTTCCTTCTATTTTAGGAAAAGTCTTGTCTACTGAGTAGAGAATCTGTGGCTCTCCAAGGTTGCTAAAGTAGAAGTCCCAGCAAACATAGCCACCAAGTAAGAAGGCAAGGGATGCTGTTTTTCTGTTACTATGTTTAGTTTGATTTACATTGATATCATTTGTTTTATTTTTATATGTTTTCCAGAGTACTTTTGTCTGTATGGCAAGGGGTATCCATTCATCTTTTGAATGGATAGGGACATACTTAATATTTGGGGAGGACTAACAGAGATAACAGGTAGACTGATGAGGCAAAGTGTATGAGGCTGAACATTGAAAGTTGCAGACCCTTCTCCCACCTGGATTGTCTTGCTTCCCAATTGCTACCAATCCCCAACTTCCTGCCAATGTAATGGGTGACAAAACGTTTAATCCTGTTTTTATATGATGGTTAAACAGGAAGGAAAATGCGATTTTAACAAGAGTAGAACTGAGGATGACTCAAGCATTCTTCATTCAAGGTCTGGAGACAAGCTGAAGGCAACATCACAGGCATGCACCAAGTCATAGTTTTGCAATTGTTAGCTACAACTGAGAACAGTCCTAAATTACTGTGCATCAGGTTAGTCTTAAATTGTGCATTAGCTTATTGTAAACCTAACATTTGCTGTTCCAGGAGAAGCTGCCCTATCTTCCTCAGATAATAATTTAGTCCTGTGCAGATCATGTTCAGTGTTCCCTTTTATGAAAAGCATTCTATTTCCTGTTTTTGATTCCCTGACCCCTGGCAAAGTGTGTGAGACAGATGGTGGAAAAAGAGGTGGAGTAGAGTCCATGAATCCAGGAGAGACCTAGGTGGAACTTTGAAGATGTTCCTTGGTCTCTGAGTCAGCATGAAAGCCAGCCAAGAAGATGAGCTGGAAGGGACAGGTGATATAATCATCCTGACAACAGGAGATCAAAGAATGATGGTCTAAATAAGGTCCTAACCCATAAAGGTCATGGCTGCTCATGTACTGCACCTCTAATTCTTCCTGGAAATGCTTGATTAAGGAATAAAAGGTGCGAGAGAATAGACTAACATTGGAAGGACCCGAAATTAAATCTTCAGTCAGACATATTAGTCAGTGGTGGGATTCAAATATGTGAACTACTGGTTCTCTGTGTGGATGCAGCTTCCAGAAGTCCATTCTGGACCTGGGCAACAAAAAATTAGCTACCGGTTCTGCCGAAGTGGTGCAAACCGGCTGAATCTCACCAATGATGTTAGTCCATAGACAACTGTAGGCCAATCATTACATGACAAGGTAAACACTCATACAGGACTGTTCTAAGGTAGAATAGGGGATATAAGAGCTGGCTGAGGAATTCTGGGAATTCAAGTCCACAAGTCTTAAAGTTGCCAAGATTGAGGACCCCTGCTGTATAGTGCCTTTTTTTTTTTTTGAGGAACAAAATTAATCAGTTTCCTGACATAACCAGATATTCTTGTCCATGGACATAAGACTTCTTTTCCTGGTTCAGTCATACCAAGAGTCCTGAGATCACAGAGGTTAAATGATTGGGCAAGTGAAACCCCCAGACTCTGTTGAATCAAGATGCAAGAATCCCCATCAAATGAATTTGTCCATCAAACCCCTGCCTATTTGCCTCATTCCCAAAACACTGCACAAACCTTCCCATTCAGACTGTGTGGTTTGTTTAAATAAACAAATCAATAAAAAGTTCTTTTATGGCAGGGATGATTGTTTTATTGTGAGACGTCTGGCTAAATGCCATCAGAAATCATTGCTTTTGGGTCCAGAGTTTCAACACAGTGGCCCGCGCCAGGAATATCTATAGCCTTGCCTTGACTCCTAGGTTCAGTCACTTCTTGTGCAGATAGCATCAAGGCTGTGGAGATTTGACCTGATTATTCCAAGGACAGTAAGGAGGCTAAGCTCTGGAATCACCCCATCCAAGGATGTCTTATGACAATTAGTTTTGTTTGATTCCATCCTAGCTGAGTTTCATCCTCCAAAGCACCTGAAGGCAGGACAAGAAGCAACGGATGGAAACTAATCAAGGAGAGAAGCAATCTAGAACTAAGGAGAAATTTCCTGACAGTTAGAACAATTAACCAATGGAACAACTTGCCTCCAGAAGTGGTGAATGCTCCAACATTGGAAGTTTTTAAGAAGAGATTGGACAACCATTTTTCTGAAATAATTTATGGTGTCCTGCTAGAGCAGTGGGTTGGACTAGAAGATCTCTAAGATTCCGTCCAAAATTGTTATTCTGTTATCCATTCGTGCACATGCTTGTCATGGCTAGCTTTGGGCAGGTTCAACGGGTAAAAAAAATCTCTAGCTTGTTTGTGGTTCCACCTGGGGAAACAATCTGTATTTCTTAAAGGGGATGATGATGATGATGATGATGATGATAACAGTAATAACAATAACAATAACAACAACAACAACAATAATAATGTTGGAAGGAAACTTGGCGGTCTTCTAGTCCAACTCCCTGCTCAGGCAGGAAACCCTATACCATTTTAGACAAATGGCTGTCCAGTCTCTTCTTAAAAACTTCCAATAACTTCTGGAGGAAGGTTGTTCCACTGATTAATTGTTCTAACTGTCAGGAAATTTCTCCTTAGTTCTAGGTTGCTTCTCTCCTTGATTAGTTTCCATCCGTTGCTTCTTGTCCTGCCTTCAGGTGCTTTGGAGAATAGCTTGACTCCCTCTTCTTTGTGGCAGCCCCTGAGATATTGGAACTCTGCTATCATGTTCCCCCCTCGTCCTTCTCTTCATTAAACTAGACATACCCAATTCCAGCAACCGTTCCTTGTATGTTTTAGCCTCCAGTCCCCTAATCTTATTTGTTGCTCTTCTCTATACTCTTTCTAGAGTCTCGACATCTTTTTTACATCGCGGTGACCAAAACTGGATGCAGTATTCCAAGTGTGGCCTTACCAAGGCATTGTAAAGTGGTATTAATACTTCACGTGATCTTGATTGTATCCCTCTGTTAATGCAGCCTAGCACTCTGTTGGCTTTTTTGGCAGCTGCAGTACACCTTTGCTACATGAGCTGCACTGGGTGCCAGTTTGCTTCCAGATCCAATCAAGCTGTTGGCTATCACCTTTAAAGTCCTTCATGGCATGGGACCAGGATACCTGAAGAACCATCTTGTCCCAATTACACCAACCCATCCCAGGGAGAGCATGCTGCATTGGTCAAAGAATTTCAACTGACAGGATCTAGGAGAAGGGCTTTCTCAGCTGCTGCCCCCCCCCCCGTTTGGAACATCTTACCCCCCAAAGGTGAGGTGAGCCCCCACTGTTCTGATTTTCCAGAAGGTCCTAAGACCTGGCCTTGCCTTGAGAGTCTAACAGCATGATGCAGGCCTAGGGATGGCTGATGATTTGAGGACCTTCCCACTGCCTTGCTAACCTTTACCCTTCTGAATTTTTAACTTTGGTTTTTATTTTAAGTTTTAACTTGTCCTTAATTCCATTTTTAATCTATGCTTTGATTCATGTGTTTTTATTATGTTGTAAACTGCCCAGAGTCACTTCGGTGAGATGGGCAGCGTAGACATTTAATAATTAATAAATAAAACGGCTGTTGGTCCTCCAAGCTTTATATGGGTTTTTTGGTGACTGTCAGAGCAAGTTTAAATTGTATAAACCTATGTACGTTCAATGTTTCTCTTATTGGTGAAACCTTCAAAGGCATGGTTTTACTCAGCTGATCCCCTTTGGAAGAAAGAACAGAAGACCTCAGATCTGTTTCCTGATCTACTAATTTTATTGTCTGGTTAATTATCTTCCCGCTCCAAATAAATCTTCTCTTATAAATAATACAAACTAACAACAAAATCATATTGATATAAGTTAAAATAAATAAGACAACAGGATAAAAATATCTGAGCAATGAAACAAGCTGAGTTTCCTCATGGGCGCTTGGAGAGCAGAGTGACAATCAACTTCCTCTCTCTCCAAAGCACATCAAAAAAAGCCCTCAGATTTATTCATTATGAACGTTATTGCTTAATATTTTGGCTTGTAAAGTGCGTATTCCTTACAAATCCAGAAGGAGACCTGAAATTATCTGTATCCCCTCCTACAAAATACGTGACCTATTTGTGATAAAAAAAGAAACAGAAAGAAGCATTTTTTTTGTTATGGCATATGGTGGAGGAAATCTGTATTACAGAACAAAAAAGATGTGACTAGAAAAAAGAGCATAAACATAAATCCAGTGGGGAATTTTAAATCATAATTCTGAGCTTGGGCTCTGGACTTCTTCACAGCAGCTCCCTGTATTTGCACAGTCATTCTGACAAAAAAAAAATTCCTCCAGATCTTTTCTCCAGATTCAGAAGATGCAATTTCCATTTCTATCATTCACTGATAAATGATGACTGGAATATCGTCATGTGATCTCTGATTGGCCTTGCAGGGTGATCCCTGATAGACTGAGATGATTTGCTGGGAAGAAGATGACCCAGTTTTCATAAAAATGGTGCTAAAGGAGCAGCTGATTTGGCCTTTGAGTAATTGCTGTATAAGAACGAAAGACGTACACAGAGGGGAGGTGCATAAGACACTTAATTCTTCTGTCCCCTTTCACACCGAAAAGAGCTCAACTCGATATGAGTTCATTTAAAAAAAAAAGGTTCATTATTTTTTGCACTCCTTGATTTAAGCAAACTGGATGCCTCTTCTCCCAGAATCTTCCTCCCCAATTTCACGCACAGTGACACCGTGTAACAATCATGTCATCAAAGAGTTGGGTGGCCACTTTCCCGTCATTGCCGTAATGCATAAGCACCATTGGCTCATAAGCGGCAGGAACACAACATGGTGCTGGAGTCTCCCCAGAAAGGCTATGCAACCTGGCCTTGATCTGGGCATGCATGCTGGCTGGTTTGTAGTTGTGTGGGCAGGAACCCTCGCAAAACTTCATAGAGTAGCTTCGAGGGGCCACCACCCAGTCCGACCACCCAATGGCCTCGAAGGAGACCTTAAGGGACCTCAAGCAGCACTTCCCATCACCCTTTCTGCATTCTTCCTCATCAAGCTGCCTTGCCTTCCTCACTGCCTTTCGAGTTTCAGCCTCTATCGTCAGGGACAGCACCCCTGTCCCTTCTGTGATGCTAGCAGCCAGCCACACAGCCTTGTCTGACTTAAACTCCAGGCCCAGATTCAGCTTGGGCTCCGAGCTTCCTACCCATTGTTCTACAACACCCTTCAGACTGAGGCTTGGTGAAGTTCTTGAAATCTTTTGGGAAGTCAACAGCTTGTGGGTTACTTTCTCCCTTTTGGACAGTCGGTAGAGATTCACATGTACTGGCCATGTTATGTTGGACAGAGCGTTGCCCGGAGAATCTAGCCATTCTTTGAAGAGAGTCAATTCAGCCCGGAGAATGTTGAGGTTCTGACGAAGGGCTGCTGTCCTGGAGAATTCCAGATGCATGTGTGTGACAGCCTGAAGATTTCCAGATGTGGACTCATTCGTGTGCATAACTGTACAGAAAGGAAGACAGGTAATGCTGAGTTGCTAAGTTACTGTCGGTAACCATATAGCTGTGCTTTTCAACCTTGGCAACTTTAAGATGTATGGACGTCATCTCCTAGAATTCCCCAGCCAGTGGGAGTTGAAGTCCACATGTCTTCAAGTTGCCAAGGTTGAGAAACACCGCCTTATAGCAAAATTACCATCTCAGTCACCACTTCATATTGCTGTTTTCTGAAATGGAGATGCAACCACTTTGGGGCTTAGATCTTTAAATTATATTCTGGCTGCTGCACAGTCAAGGCAACTCTCAGTTTGATTTTATTAAAGTTAAGTGTAATGTACTTCATCAAAACAATTAAACTAATTAAATACACTATACTTATTTATTATGATACAGTCTGTTAGGTCTTTCATTATATCCTTGTGTAATTAATAATCATCCTTTTGGTGGGAAAATCAAAATACAGTTTGATAACAGACACTGCAGCCCAGGAGATACAGGATCAGCTCCCTACCCTATAATTAATCATTTTTCTTGCTGCAACCCTCCTTAAAGGACACTTGGGAATCAGGAGTGATGAGAGGTAGATTGGGAAAAACCATTTTTTTCAGAGATTTTCCCCAGGTTTTCTTCATATTATTTCTAGTAAAAATAATGTATTTGCATAGAAGTAATATATTTTTAACAAAGAAAACAGATCTAAAGGAGACAGAAACGGAAAACTGTAGTGGTTGCTGGTCTGGAAACCAGGAGACTGTGAGTTCTAATCCCACCTTAGGCATGAAAACCAATTTTGTGACTTCGGGTCCGTCACTCTTTCCCAGCCCAACCCACCTTGAAGGGTTGTTGTGAGGGGAAAAAAAGAGAAAGGAGTATTGTGTGTGTTCACTGTCTAGAGTTATTTATAAAAATAAGAAAGGTGGGATAAAAATGAATTTTAAAATGTAGATTTGTTTGCTTAATGGGTAAGTGGATGGAAAGTTTTATTAAGGATAAAATGACCAAGAATTCAAAAAAATAAAATACAATAAATCAACTATAGATTGACATGAAGAATAAGTTTTATTTTTTTAAATTTATATGCCACCCATCTCACTATGCAAAGTGGCTTCTTCACCAATCTTTTGAGTTGTTGGAGAATGCTAATGATGAGAAGGGATTGTCAAGCAAAATTCATGACTGGTCCTCAGAAGCTTTTGAAAAACACCCTTAGCAAAAGTTGGGACTGTGTTTAACAATCACAGGAGAAATGGAGCTTAAGAGCAAGTCCAAACTTCATATACTGTAATGCACTGAAGTAAACGACCAGGGATTGTATTGAATAGCTCCATAAAAATAGAAGCTCAGAGTGCAGTAGCTGTTCAGGAGTCACTGTTTGGTTCACACAGTACTTGAACTATGGAATTTGCTACTGCCAGATAGACTAAAACATAGAACATAGAATGATGGGGCCGGAAAGGACCTCAGAGATCTTCTAGTCCAACCCTCTGCTCGAGACTTTACACCACCCTGGTCAAATGGTTGTTCAGTCTATTTTTTAAAATCTTCAACTAAATTAAACTAAAAAAGAGAGACTAATTTGCGGAAAATGCAAATTATTAATAATTATGGATATGCATATCAGCAGTAGGATGACTCCCAATATAAGACTCTAGGAAGCATAAGAACATTATTATAGAATTATATTTCTGCTCTAAGCATCCCAAAGACAACTTGTTGGCTGCTGCAGGAACAAAATGCTAGACTAGAGAATCCTTTGCTCAGATCCAGGATAAATTCTTGATATAGATAAAGTTGGTTAGCTCACAAGTCACCTTAAACTTTGAAGACACTTTTTCAGATGTAGCCACTATCTGAGCTGAACTGTAATGGCAAATGTTTGATGGACATGTTCTGCCAGGAGATTTGTCCGGCAAAAACATTTTTATTGATTCAGATAATGAACATATTGTTAGGTTATTTTTATCTGGTTGCACTAAATCAATTCTTACAATTGCTGCATTTTTATTATTATTGATTTTGTTGGCTTTATGGTGATAGGCAGGATAGATGGATAGATGGTTAGATGGAGACAGGGAGAGTGGGAGAGAGGGAGAGAGAGCGAAACAGACAGATGGACTTTATGACCAGTTTGATACAAGAAATAACAAGATCCACACATACGGTACTATGTCTTTGTATTGTCTATATTTTGGGTTTGGTTTATTTGTAAAACTACCTGCATTGTTTCTGCTGGATAAAAATCTATTAATAAATAAACTCAAGGGAACAAGAACCATTGTTAGACAAACATATTGTATTGTGATATCAATATAACCTGAGCCAGAGCAACTCAGAATGCCCACCCTTGACGCTATATGTCCTCCCGAGGCGAGATCTGCACCCACAATTTTGGTCTTCCAAAAGGGCTTGAAGTCATGGCTCTGCTAACTGGCCTGGAGCTTCAGTAGGGGCATGTCATTTTGGAGGTGGGTAATGGATTAGATAAGACCCCACCTCTTCCTCATGTGCATTTTGTTCCCTTCCTCTTCATCTTGGTCGATTTTAATTTTTTAATTTATATTTAATGTTTCTATTGTTTTAATATTTTATATGGGCATTTTTTTACTGAGGGATACTGAGCCTTTGGCAAGACGGGCAGCATCTAACTTTGGTAAAAATAAAATAAAATAATAAATATTGGGAAAAGATTACAGAATCATAGGCTTGGAAGAAGCCATTTGAGGCAACTCCATGTTCAGTGTAGGAACCCATATTTAAGCCTTTCATACCTAAATAGATGACCATATAATCTTTGCTTCAACATATTCAGTAAAGAATGTCTACCACCTAATAGATTGTTGAAATTAATTTTTTTCTACATTCAGTTGAAATCTGCTTTCTTATTCCTTAAATCCATGCCCTACACCAGGAGTCTTCAAACGTGGCCCTTTTATGACTTGTGAACTTCAACTCCCAGAATTCCTCAGCCAGAGTAATAATAATAATAATAATAATAATAATAATAATAATAATAATAATGACTCGATAGGTAGACAAAATGCCAAATCCAGTCTGAACATCTGGCTGACTGTGCGATATAATAATAATAATAATAATAATAATAATAATAATAATAATAATAATAATAATAATAATAATAATAATAATAATAATGTTGGAAGGGACTTTGTAGATCCACTTCACCTGATTTGGCTTCTCTCCTCTTTTTTCGTTTCCTTTGCACAGCTTTAATTTTGACATTTTTTGAAAATCAGCATTAAGGCAACCTGTGGCATGTGCACACAAGATACATGCACACAGCCCTTACAAGTTCCCTCATGGCTGCTTTCTTAAGAACTAATCTACTGCTCAAGGAAATTTCTGCATTGCAGCAGAAGCTGAGGCAATTCACTGGATGCTAAAGAAAAGGGGAAAGGCATACGAGACATGCCCCCCCCTTCCAATTCATGGAAGACCCTCTAAAAAAGATGAACACTTACATTCAGGCCTCAAAACATGGACAGTGCTGGATGGTGGCAGCTTCGTTTGATTTGCTTGGAGCTGTGCAAGCAATTCCTGGTAGTGCAATTGTGTCCTCTGGATCTCCTCTCCATCCATGCGGCCCTGGATGGTTGGAGGCATCTCCAAGCCCAACCTTGCCAGGATGCTCTGCTTAACAGCCTCTATCTGGAGCTGGATGTCATGACCCCTGTGCGGCCACGGATCCACCCTGGAAATGAAAAGCAGAAGCAGTACTCCCAGGTTGGGGATGAGACTCTTGAAGTAGCATGAGAAGGCGGCTGGCATTGTGCCTATTGCGATGACCACATCTTGAGGCAATTTCCCTAATTCCATTGTCAGAGAAAGGTGCATTTGCTATCGCTACTGCCTGCGCTAACAATGAATGAACTTGAACTTGACCAGAACTCTCTTTATAAAGATGAACTTCGACTGACTCACATCGTCACTTTTACACTGGCGTCAAAGCAGTAAACATGACTGCTAAGAGGAATCCAGGCGGTTCCCTTAGAGAGTGGGGGGGGGGGAGGGAGGCAAAAATTCTCCTTCAGGGAAAATTTGACAGTGCAAACTCTGGGGAATTTATAGTATAGGTTTCCCACTTTACCTTCTCTTCTGTAGTCATGGAGACAAACACATACAACTGCTGTCAGGTGACTCTGTCTCTGTGTGTGTGTTCCCCCCCCCCCAAACAATTGAGCTGCATCACTGTCCAACCTTTCCAGGTGAATCTGGAAATGTCCACACATGTTCACATAAGCAAGACTCTTCATTTGGGGGGTTGTGCACCAGCAACACAGTGACCCATTTATTGTAGAACACTCTCCTTAGGGCGCCAGTGTGAAAAACCACAGTTGCTTCATTCTTGATGTCCAGCCAGGGCAGGTGAGGAAGTAAAATGAAAGTAGAGATGGAAATATGGATTTCCTAGAATGACCCCATTTTTGGTGAAGCTGTTGTAGAAATTTAGTTCTGTGCCAGTAGCAGGACAAGGATTAACCTTCTTGGCACATCAACAGGACTTAATCCAGTTAGCCTTATCATTTCAATAGGTACATATAGTCCTCAAATTACAATTATTCATTTAGTTGCAGGACCAATCGGTCATCGGGACTGGAGGTTTAGTCTTCCGAATTTTCAGACTCGTGCTGGACTCCATCCTCAGGGATCTTCTCTCTCACCAGAATATGTGATGTGTGAAGGTGTGACACATTCTGATGAGAGAGAAGATCCCTGAGGATGGGCTCTAGCAACAGTCTGAAAGCTCAGAAGACTAAACCTCCGGTCCCAGTGATCAACCCAGATTGGATCCTGCAAAATTATCCTGGGACACAAATATTTGCCTTCATTCATTCATTTAGTTCAAAGTTACAACAGCACTAAAAAAAAGGTGACCTACAACCAGTCCTCAGGTTTATGACATCACAGCATCTCCCACAGTCACATGATTAAACTTGATTGCTTGGCAACCAGCATGTATAGATGATAGCCGTAGCAGTCTGGAGTCATGTGGTTGTCATTGTAACCTTCCCAGCTGGCTTCTGACAAGCAAATTCAGAGGGAGAAGCCGGATTCCCTTAACTAGTGCATGATTCACTTAATGACTGCAGTGATTCACTCAACAACCATGGGAAAAGGAGACTTAAAATCGGGCGTGACTCACTTAAACAATTGCCTAGCTTGGCAATGGAAATTCTTGTGATTGTGGAGCCAACATGCATGGAGACTAAAAATATATTTGATGATCATTCTCCAGTGGCAACAAGCTCTACCAAACTTTTAGGCTAGACTTGCAGGGGTAGGCAACCTTGGCTCTTTTATGACTCGTGGACTTCAACTCCCAGAATTCCCACTGAATCTATTTGTTTTGGAAATACTAGAAATGATCCTTCATATACCTCTAAAACAGCAAGATAGGAAACGAAGTTTTGGAACAGTTTTTCAAAGTTGGCAACTTTTAAGATGTGTGGACTTCAACTCCCGGAATCCCTCACATTTTAAAATTGCCAAGTTTGTAAACACTGGTTTAGAATATACAGCGTATAACTGTGTCTGCCCCTTCTCAAAAAGCACATTACCAAAGTGGGAAAAGTCACAATAGGACATAAATCTCATCCCAATCCTAAAAAGGAATAATTCTTGTTTCTTCCAGAGGTGACTCATTCATTATTTGTTTCCAATGTTTTCAATTGTTTTAGATTCTTGTATCAAATATGGTGAGGAATTTTTTTTTGTCTACTATGGATTGGAGGCAGCCAGTGTTGAAGTAAGCCTTCCTTCAGAATCAAACCATAAACCATTAGTTGATGAAGAGAACATGTGGGAATCCAAAAGAAACGGTAATGGTGGCCAAGTTCTTGCTAATCAAAGGAATGATTCTACACAAAGTTGCTTTGATCCAATGTTTGGAAGGTATTTCATTCTTGTTTTATTGTTGTGCCTTACTCGTCAGTTGCTGAGGAATTGGGTGGTCAGACCCAATTTCAGAAAGAACATTTTGCAGCATGAAAGGATTCACCAACTGACCAATTGGAAGCGACACAATTGCAGGAGCCTCTGAAACCTCATAAAAACATTTAGATGAAAATCAGACCTGAATATTTTGAAAATCCACTTAACATTCTGACACATACAGAAGGGAAGAATGCTTCTTCTCTTCCATCTGCTAAATAGCTGGAATAATAGGACAACAGAGTTGGAAGGGACTTTGGAGGTCTTCTAGTCCAACCCTCTCAAGTAAGAAACCTTATACCATTTCAGACAAATGGTTGTCCAGTCTCTTCTTAAAAACTTCCAGTGTTGAGGCAACCACAATTTCTGGAGGCAAGTCATTCCACTGATTAATTGTTCTAACTGTTAGGAATTTTTTCCTTAGTTCTTGATTGGTTTTCTCCTTTATTAGTTTCCATCTGTTGCTTCTTGTCCTGCCTTCAGGTGCTTTGGATAATAGCTTGACTCCCTCTTCATTATGGCAACCCCTTAGATATTGGAAGACTGCTATCATGTCACCCCTAATCCTTCTTTTCATTAAACTAGACATACCCAATTCCAGCAACCGTTCCTTATATGTTTTAGCCTCCAGTCCCCTGATCATCTTTGTTGCTCTTCTCTGCACTCTTTCTAGAGTCTCAACATCTTTTTTACATCGTGGTGACCCAAACTGGATGCAGTATTCCAAGTGTGGTCATACCAAGGCATTATAAAAATGTATTAACACTTTACGTGATCTTGATCTTGATCCCTCTGTTAATGCAACCTAGGACTGTGTTGGCTTTTTTGACAATTGCAGTAAACTGCTGGCTCATATTTAAGTGAGTGTAGGAGAACAAGCAATTGGGGAAATTGGGAATTGTGCTTTTAAGTCTGTTGACCAACATTTGAAAACCAAACTTATCATCATTATAATCACTGTCACTATTGGAATCCTCATTAAACCAATATATCAGAACAATTGTTCTTAATATATGATGATAGTCTGTGGAAGTCCCATGGATGTTCTGTTTGTGGACCCCATTTAAAAAAAAGTATTATGAGGTCAACAGAGATGTTTTGTGTGATCCTCAAATCTTGTTAATATGTGGGCATTTTTGCCCCAAATATCTCAAGTTACCAGGTTGGGAACCCATCAAAACCACATGGGATTTAATGATTTTGTGAGATTTTGGTATTTAATTTTTATTTAATTTTTGCAGTTTCTCAAACCACATAACGGAAGTCCTATGTGTAACAAGTCCAACAATAAAAAACTAAAAAGTTCATAAATTTGTAATTCTCTGGCAACAAAAAAGATCAGGAAGAATGTTTTCTGATTAACATTTTTTGTTAAAAGGTATAAGCTGCATCTCATAAAAGCTAACCCTTTTAAAAAAAATACTTGGGAAAAGAAATGCTACCAGATGTTTTTGCCAGGGTCTACGCCAAAGGCATTCAATCTTCCTAGTAATAGAACAGAACAGAGCTGGAAGGTCTTCTAGTCTAGCTCCCTGCTCAAGCAGGAGAACCTACATCATTTCAGACAAGTGACCGTCTAGTCCAGAGGTAGGCAACCTTGGCTCTTTTATGACTCGTGGACTTCAACTCCCAGAATTCCTGAGCCAGCCATGCTGAGGGGAAAGAGAGAGGTTTCCAAGTTGAGCCATGCTGGCTCAGGAATTCTAAGAGTTGAACTCCACAAGTCATAAAAGAGCCAAGGTTGTCTACCCCTAGTCTAGTCTCTTCTTAAAAACCTCCAGTGATGGAGCACCCACGATTTCTGAAGGCAAACTGTTCCACTGGTTAATTGTCCTCACTGTCAGGAAGTTTCTCCTTAATTCCAGGTTGCTTCTCTCTTTGGTCAGTTTCCAATCATTGTTTCTTGTCCTGCCGTCTGGTGCTTTGAAGAATAATTTGACCCCCTCTTCTTTGTGGGAGCCCCTCAAATACTGGGAAACTGCTATCATGTCACCCCTTCATGTCATGTCTTCTGCCTCTTTGTCCTACATTGTGGCTGTTGCAGTCCTTACATTGTATGTGGTAGATGACTCCTGTATTTTTTCCTCCTGGGGCTGCTGGGTCTTTTGATCTACTTAGGAGGTGTCAAACTGCTGGCCCGCGGGCCGGACATGTCATCTGGAAGCCACGTCCACCCCATTGCTGGCAATGGCAAAATAGTCCGGATACATCTCACCACATCACGTGACGTCACGAGTTTGACATATCTGACTTAGGAGGTTTGGGAAGGCTTTAACTGATTTGTGTGTTCTGGTGATGTCACGTAATAGTAATAGTCTGCTGATGGTTTCTGAGGATTTTTTTTATGTATGGCAGTGTTATTCTTCTCATAGCTTATGTTGGTTATCCTGTAATGGGTTGAATGGTCTTATATGTTTTGATAAACCTATGTGAGTCATGATGGCTCTGCAGTTAAAGATGCTGAGCTTGTCAGCTGGAAAGCTAACAGCCCAGGTTCAAGACTCAAGTGCCTCAAGTTCCTCCTTCCGTTATATATTCAAGATGGACAGTATTTCATATTTATTTGCTACATATATGTAGGGATGTAGGCCTATACATATGTTGTTCATAGTATGTTTAAGTGTGTATCATGTATGTGTTTCACTTTGAGAGCAGGCAACTAAATTTCATTTTTGATGTGTGCCCACAGTAAAAAAAAATGACAATAAAGGTTATCTTATCTTATCTTATAAGATGGGGGCGAGCTCCCATTGCTTGCCCCAGCTCCTATCGCCCTAACACAGTGTTTCTCAACCTTGACAATTTTAAGGCATGTGGACTTCAATTCCCAGAATTCCACAGCCAGCAATGCTGGCTGTGGAATTCTGGGAGTTGAAGTCCACATGCCTTAAAATTGTCAAGGTTGAGAAACACTGCTTAACAGTTTGAAGCATGCAAGTGCAAGTAGATAATTAGATACCATTATTGATGGGAAGGTTCCATGAGCCTTGGCATATAGTCATGCTGGCCACTTGTCCATGGAAATCTCTTCAGACAACACTGGCTCCCTTGGC